ATATTGCAGAGGTCCATTTTCTCAACAGCTAGTTATATGCAGAGATTATTAATTTCTAGCTGCAGTGCATGAATGTGGTACAGATGAAAATTCCTTTGGACTTTCAAGTAGTCAAATCACATTTCAAGTCTCATTTGCATTCTTCTAGTCCCTCAACCCTTTTGCCAGTCCTGTTTTACATTTTTCTTTCATCTATTTAATTATGTACGTGTTGGAACTATGAAAAATCCTAACCGCTCATGATTTCCAACTGAATCTTAGTATCTTTTGTTTATGTTTATAATGTACTTTTTTTATATATAATCAACATATCTTTTATATGATAGGTGGTATTTAATTGTCCCAAGTTAGCATAGTTTAAAACATACTTTCTCTTAAAAATGATGCATCTTTTTATCCCACCACATAAGGAATTTTCTAACATCTAAAGTGCTTCATTCCAATGCTTGCTTGGGTTTATCATGTGGTTGTTGGAGTAATAAGATGCTTTCTAAATTGGGATTGACAGCCAAATCATTCAGTGTATAGAGAGAAAATCTTCGATTTGGGCTTTCTTAGAGTCACCATCTGGGTTTGCTTTAGCTACAGTTTTACAATAGAAATGGGAATACAGACAAGACCATTTATACTGATGAATGGCATGAATGATGTGTAACAATCCAGAAACAAAGATGAAAAGTACTGCAATGTCCCCCTTTCATTTTTCTTTTCTTCTTTTAGAAGACTGGTTTTAATTACTGTTCCTTATTTGTTGAACAGTAAAACAAAAGAGAAAAAGAGTATTTAAATGTTAAATGTGTTATTGTTCACTGAACTGGTTAATTCATTTTATTCTTCATGCCAATTTCAGTTGAATGTGCTTTCAAATGATTTTCTGCATGTGTGCTAGTAAAGCAGGAGCAAGTTTGGTCTGAGTGCCTTTAGCTTAATGACTTCTCTGCATGTATGGTCCAAGCTTCCCTTCTCTTCTTACTTTGAAAACAGTGACAATGTTTGTAGGCAGCACTTTTTCTTCACTTTTCCTTTAGCAACTAGGCTTAGTAAAATCTCTTCTCATGCTCACCATTTTGTCGAGAATGTACCCCACAGTTCTCAAGGCCATTTCTGCTGGGCAGAAGAAATTTTTTCTACATTGTTAGGACCAAAGGACACTGCCAAGTCGCAGGTTCTACAGCCTTCTGTGCATACTGCCACCTCCCACCCCTTCTTAGCGTGACCTGTTATCACACATCCCATAGCAGCAGCAGGACAGCTGTCTGGATCATTTATTCATGGTATAACAGTCTGAAGCAACTGAATTTGACTACTTGATGGCTCAGAGTTCCTATTATCTTCAGAAGGATGATCTGCTGTCACTTATGAATTCAGCACCCCTCCCACAGGCACTCTGCTATCTTCTGTGCTGCAGGCGGAGTAGACAGTCTCCCTCAGAGCTTTCTCGTGAGCCACAGACCATTCACAATTTAGCCAGAATGAATGCGAATTATTATACGTGCTCCTTAAGAGGGAAGTGTGTTTTTGTGAACACTCCAGGTGAGAGTCCTCCAGATTTGGCTCCAATTATTTTATAAATCAAATATTTCCACTCTGTCTTCTCTATCCTACCTGATGTACAAATACAGCTATTGTTGGGAAGACTGAAATAATGTTAGTAAATATACATCCTTCCACACTCATTCCTACTCAGTAATACAACCTTGAACATAGTTCTCTGCTGAGTGGTATTTGCAGGAAGTTACATTATACAAAGTCTCTGCTTTGACAATGACTATGAGCTATTTCTCAGCTTCCTGATACTGAGTTCTCCCAGGAGACCAATTCAGGTGCTTCTAAAATATATTGCTGCTGTGTTCAGAGTCAACAAGAAAGGCTGTGCCAGTACATCCTAACTTTTCCAGGAGAGAGCTGCCTCCTGGGATTAGTGCACTGACCGTGGCCTGTTTCACAGGAAATCTAGGAATTTAAACAAACCAATCTCAGTTGTTTCAGACTGCTAGACCATGACTAGAAGATCTAGACAGCTGTCCTAATAACAGCATTTCAACAACAGTCCTCTTTGTGTCAGTCTAACAAAAAATGTCAGGCTTTATGTTCCAGATACCTGGGTCTGTCTCTGGAAAGTTACTGATTTTTCAGACTGACGACTCTTTTCTCATTTCTTCTTTTCTTGAAGGTGTTTCTTTTGTTTGTTTATTTTTTGTTTGTTTGTTTTCCCGCTGAAGGAAAAGACAGAATTCAGGTCTTAGGAAAAGTTTTGCTGTGCTCATTACAGAAAATCTCACAGTGAATGCCAGACTATATGAAAAAAAATGTTTTTGGACCATAAAAGGAAACTTCACTTCTTTTAGGGTCTTCCCAAAATTAGAACTTCCTTTGAGATTCCTCAACAGTTCCCATTTAAAAACTAGCCAGACCAAGTCCAATTCTTTTCCTAAGAAATATCCAGCTATTTCCTAAGAAATATCCAGAAAGTCCAACTCTTTTCCTAAGCATTACAAATTTACTAAAGAAGGAGGAAACAATTCTATGTCCAGAAGAGCTATGTATGAGAGGATCTTCTGACAGAATTTTTTTCATGAGTTCTGCACATAGATAGACTGTGAAAGGAAGGAGAAAGGACATTTGCCTTTTTTTTCTTAGAGAATATATATTTTATCCAACGCATCCCCAATACTTCTATTTCTGTTCCATATCTAGTCTAATTTTGGGGCTGAAATAACTGTCTGTTCCGTCTCTATTTTTACCATATGTGCCTTCTTTACCATAAAGAGAAAGAAGGAAGGCATGTCTTCAAACATAATGCCAAAGTAATAAATAAATAAATTCATAAAAAATACCAACAGTTTTGGCATAATAATATCCACAGTTTGAATGCAAATGAAGACAATGAATTTTGAAGAACTATTACAACCAATAAAATCTATTTTTATTACACTATTCTATTCACACTGATCTCGCTTCCTCTGAAGCCAAAAGAATTCTGGCATTAGTTTCATGAGGAGTAGTGCCAGTCTTGCAAAGCCTATTTGGAACTTTGATCCTGCTGATGCTGTGTTTAGGAGTAGGCATATTGAGTTTATGCATGAAGTTAACCACCTATGTGAATGCTTGCAAATAGATTATTAGATTCTGGTCTTACAAGTAGCTATAATTAAATTCAACTTTGGAAACAACAGTGTGAAGGATCTTGCACTTTGAACTTGGTCCTGTATTTTCTTCACTGACTTATATTGTTGGTGTGTAGGATATTTAGATGGAGCTGATCTTCCATGGGCTGAAGATAAGTTACTTTCTCATGCTTTGATAGGACATTTGTGTGTGGCTGAGTATTTAATATCTATTAAAAATGAAAAGTATGAACAATTAATTTTACTGCTTTTGAAAGAGTATCTCATGTTTCTAAGAAATGGCATATATATTTTTCATATTTTTTATGTCAACTAAATTTTGAATGAGATTGAAATTGCAAATGTGGGTAGAAAATGTGCTTGCTCAGCTGCGTTAAAGGATATATTCAGATTTTAGCAAATCATAGGTGAGGCTCTTCAAATAAAGCAGTGAACTGATAGTGATGACTATCAATTGAAGTAAACTATTTCATCTACAGACAGGATTAGAAAATCCTGTCAAAATTATAAGAATATAATTTTGATGAAATGAAGTCATATGCTCTATTGTGATTTTTTTTATTATTTAAGCCTCCTTTTGCTATTAGCATTCATGAGTCTCATTCTAAAGCCTCCTTTTGCTATTAGCATTCATGAGTCTCATTCTAAGGGAATGTGCAATTTACCTTTTTGTAACATTGCTTCCTTCTGTAGAAATAAGCTTGATGTTTAACATTACATTACAAATACATTCTTTCCATAATCTACACTTATCAGAGAAGGAAATACTATCTTTTGCTTTTAGTCTCACTGCTCTACATGCAATGTGGTGCCATAGGTACATTCCTCTGGACTTTATGAACTTCTAAATGTAACTGTTGCGAGTGCTACTTTTGTTTATTGCCTACTGCTCAGAAATGTGGTTTTCATTTTCATCGTGCCTGGTTTTTGAGAAACACAGTCTAGGTATGAAGAGAGCAGCAATGAAAAGGAAATTAGTTGCTAGCGGCACTGCATCAGAAGAATTATTCTGTTATGACTATAAACAGTGGCATCAAATGAGAAAATAGACTTTCAAATTAATTAGCATTTAGGGAAAATGGTTTTGGAGTAATTATCAGATTGCTTTTAAGTGGCTACATCTACAAGCACATCTCTTCTTTCTAATATGTCCTTGGTAGGGACGAATAACAAATGCATACATGTTTTGAGTTTTGATTTTGTCCTGTGTTCATCCTTTTTTGAGAAAGAATAAAAAAAATGAATAATGTTGCCCCATTCCTTTCAACTCCAGTGCAAGTCAGACTTGTTCGTTCCTCCCAAAAGCAAAGAGCCTTTTAATGCTATTGTATAGGTAAGGGTAATAAGCCTACTGAGGTCTTCTGTACTATGACTGTTCTAATATTCTTTTGGTAAAGGACCTCTAAGTAAGTAGACTGCACTAACAGTCAGTCTACAAGGACACCTCTCTGTCTGCCTATTAAGGCTATTGTAGCTATGAATATACCAGATCTGAGCCACTATTCATCACTAAACAAGCACTGTTTCACAACTTTTCTTTTTTTCCCTGTGAGCTTTTCTAGTGCTTTACAAACAGGCATAAGTGATCGCGTCAACAAAAGCTGTGCATTAACTTCTTGGGAGCCCATTTTCAAATAATCTATACAGGAGAAGTAGTAAGTCTTATATTATATACTCATTTTTCCCCTTGAATACTCCAACTCTGTAATAAATAAGCAAGCAAACAAATCATAGCTTATTGTCTTCTTCCTGCAAAGATGGCAATAGCTGGGAAGAGAAAAATAACAGTTCCAGCTAGCTAGACTGCTGTTATGATAAATGTGTAATCATTGTACATTTGCATCTACTCTGTTTAATATTTTTCGTATACAGATACTTCATCGATTGGAAGAATGATGTGGACAACTACTTTACAATAGATGCTAATGAAGGAACCATTGCTACTAATGAATTACTGGACAGAGAAAGCACAGCACAGTACAATTTCTCTATAATTGCAAGTAAAGTTAGTAAGTATGACACAAACTGAATTAATATGCTAATGTGTTTGTTTTTTTTTCAGAATATAGTGCTTGAGCATAAATATACTGTGGAGAATGCATATATTACCAAGAAATGATTTAGAAATGCCCAATAAATATCATTTTCCCAGATTGACTATAAGGCTGCATGACATGCAAATAGGCCTGTACAGTAATGGTTTTCTAGTAGTCCTCGTGCAAGAACAATTCCTTCAGAAGCTGAAAAAACTTATCAACAAGAATGCCTGAAAACAAAAGAGAACGTATAGAGACCTTCCTCTGCATGTACACATTCATTTAATTCTCAGACAAGAATTACAGTAAAATAGAGTCATGATAGCATGCTAATAAGTTAAAGCACTAAATGAATCAACTTATGTGCTGTCTCTTTCATTTTGAATTTTCTCTCTGCCCAAGACTCTTTCTTCTTAACCACTTGTTTTCTATTACTGTATTGTTGGTTTTGTTTGCTTTATTCCTTTATGCCTTCTCCCACAAAGCTTTTATTTGCAGATAAGAGCTCCCTTCTTCTCATGTATTAAGTAGCTCCAACTTTCTTCACTGTCATCCTGTGTAGCATTTGTAGCATTCTTCCTTCATGATCCTGCCAAACTGAAAGTCTGGTAGGTGTAAACCACTATTTGAATGAGAATTTTGGTCTTCTAGAAGATGTGTAAAGACCACAGAAATCTTTCTTGGCACATAATAAACTGTACAAAAATATGCCTGGTATATTTCCTATTCGTTCTGTATTGTTTGTGTGTCCAGAAAAACAAATAACTTGTTTTCTTCAATATATTTCTTGGCACTGAGATGTCACTTACAAATGTATAATGTCTACACTCACCTAAGTGTTAATATAAATATCAGCATTTACACATTTCTGAAGAGCAGATTCAAGAGAATGAAGCCAGGCTCCTTTTGCTGGTGCCCAGTAACAGGACAAGCTGTAATAGGCACGAAGTGGAACACGGGAAGTTCCATCTGAACATGAGAAAGAACTTCTTTGCATTGAGCTAAAAATAGAGCACTGGAACAGGCTGCCTAGAAAGGCTCTGGAATCTCTTTCTCTGGAGATATTCATGACCCACCTGGATGCTTTCCTGTCTAACCTGTTGTAGGGAACCTGCTTTAGCAGAGGGGTTGGATTCAATGATCTCCAGAGGTCCCTTCAAACCCCTATGACTCTGTGATTCTATGATTCAATATGTAATACATTCTATTAACTATTCTATTAACTATTATATATAGTTAATATATATATATATATATGTAGTTAATATAGAATATATTACTATTCTATTAACAAGGGAGATATTGGAAGCAAAGAAAGCATATATTAAAATAAAAATAGCTGTAGTTATCTCAAGGAGAACTCATGGGATCACTACCTGAAGTCTGGAAAACTAACAGGGACACTAGTCAAATGAACACTTGAATTTTATCCTTAACTTGAGATAGGAATAGATTAGCAGAAGAAACTAAACTTTCACAAGTGATTGATTGTATGGACTATAAGTATTTGCGTATATTGAAAGTCCAGAAGAACTGTACTTCATTTTCAGAGAAACTGAAAGGCTGTAGTGAAGAAGTCTTGTAATACTCTACATTTCAGTAATGCTTAATTATTTCTGGTGGATAAGGATCTCCTGAGAACTGTAAAATCTTTCTGCAATAAGGTTGTACTTTTAATAAACTTAATAGGAATCTGTTTATTATTACCTAGAGTAATTAAAGCTAGCTAAAATCTCCAAGTTTACATTTCTACATAATGTTATGCAACACTGAAGCAGGCAGTCTATATTACGAAATTCCCAATTTCAACACCTAGTTAAGATTCTACACCTGAGACATACATGCGATTCATTTTAGCATACATCAAAATATTTATAAAGCATTATCCATAGCAATACAAATAATTGCTGTACCTGTACTAGAGCAGTATTGGATAATTTTGGAAGATTTTATGTATATTATCTCAGAACTTTATATGCAGTTGTATAAGAAATTACACAGAAATAAACACCGGGTTTGAGAAATAGTACACTACACAGCGAAGAAAGCCAAAAAGAAGAGTGGGAACACATGAAATAAAAGAGGGAAAAAAATAATATTTTGGGGAATTTTCTGCTACAATAAAGATGTGACCCATTTAGTGCTTATATAGAAACAGTGCAATAATCATCTCTTGTAGTAACAGGATGCTGAACAGCGCTTTGACATAGATCTGATTGCCAAGTGGTCCAATATTGCAAATAGCTGCACAAACTTACCCCAGGACTTTAATTCTTATCTAAATATTTTCAACTCTTGTTGAGCACATATTTAAAATAAAGAGATTTCAAACTATTAATAGCCATTTCAATTTCTGTTAATCATTTGCTAAAATACTTTTTTTTTTTTTTTCGTGAAGAACAAGAAAAAAACTTTCAGATACCTCCAGTACCCTTAGCCATGGGCTTTTCTAGTGGTTGCCCCCACTGAGCTTCTGTAGCTTCAGAATGAAACTCTGTAAGAATAACAGATTATACTTGTGTCAACTTTTTTGTACAGTGTAGTAGTATTACAACTTCTAAGCAAAGAAATTAACTTTCAAACAAAGGCAAGCAGTTTAGATAGCTAAATATAGCAGCAGAGAATATATAAATGTAAATGCAGAATTGGATGTATCAATTAGACTTTTCTTACAAACTGATATTTTTTATTAGCAAAAAAACAAACAAACAAAAAAAAAAAACAACAGACATTATATTTTTTAAAGGAATATATTTCAGAATTGAGGCAGATGAGAATTGCAAATCAGTGTGTCCTTCGTTGGTATGAGCTGTTACAGAGAAAAATAATTTCTTTTTTAAAAGTTTTTCTGTTTGGGAATTTGTAAATGTTTTTATGTCCAATGTCCTCTTTCTGCTTTATTTATTTACTTTTTTTTTTCTTTTTTTTTGACACAGATATACTGCAACTATTCATCCCTAAACTGGTCTTTTCATTCCTACTTATACCAAATGCGGTGTGGATTGGCAGCTTAACCAGAGGCCAAATTTTGTCCCTTAGCAACAAGTTGATAATGAAATTTGCTTGTTATAGGCGTGCTTATGTCAGTTTGTAGATGTGAGAAATCCTGGTTACCCTGAAAAAACATCATAAATTTTGCATATGGACAAAAGTGCCTGGCTCCATGTAGGGAAATCAGATATTGGAAGTTATTCTAGGCATGTTATTGAGTGACCAGCTCTAACCACGTATCACTATATTGTTGTTTATTTTTTATTTCTAACCTGAAAAACTGACAAATATCTGTTCCAAACATGATCTGTAAATCTGTCTTCAAATATCAGAACAACTACTCAATGTGGAGTGATAGATGCCTACTGTCATATTTAACACAAGACACCATAACCTTCTTCTTTATCCTTGTTAAAGAAGCTCATCCTAAAGTAGAAATATTCATTTTTGGAAAGCAGATGCCTCTTCTGCTAACATGCAGATGACACAGACAGGAAGGCAGGAGAATGCAAAAGGTCTCTTACCCATCTGTTGAAATAAAAAATCAGCCTTCATGTAGAACAAAGTACATGAACAGGAAGGGGATGTTTCAAACCCCTATTTTTTTCCCATTTCGTTTACCAGTTTCTCCTTACTTGAACTTCTTTTCTCTACTTTTCATTTTGGTTTTGTTTTTCTCCTAATGGTTTCTTCTCGTAGCTTCCATGCTTCCTGCTTTTGAACATTTTTGATTCCACAAACTCTGTCCAGAGTAATAAATTATACTTGTCTTGCATTTTTTCTTGGCACTTAGGCCAGCTGGCACTGAGTAGTTTACTTCCATGCCACTAAACACTCTGGCTTTCCAAACAGGGTGGCAATGTGTAAATGAATTTGCTGAGTTGTCCTTCACTCATACTCTCACTACGTGAAAGTGGATTACTTGAAAGACCACTAGTTTCCCCAGGCCAGAACTGTGCCAAGAAGTTGTTGTAAGAATTTGATAGTATAAATAATCAGAGTTCAATGCTCAGAAAGATCCACAGTGTCATGCTAAATTACCAAGAACAAAAACAGTGTCTGTACTTGACAGAAGAAGAAATAGGTTAAGTTGTGTAACATCTTATTCCTGTAGAAATAATGCTAAAGAAATATGATCTTAAATTTCAAGATGATGTTTATCCTTTCCTGCATAACATAGCTGGGATTGAGATCTCCTCAGTGGTCAGCATCTGTTTGTTTTTTAGGTATCTTGTATTTTCACAGTCTCATTCATTCACGTATTTTATAGGTTCTAGTCCTGTAATATCTTTGAACTATGAAGATGTTACCAGACCATGGCACTCAAGCAAAAGAAGGAAGCAGTGTTGTCACTGCCTTACAGACAGGAAAAATGACGAAGAAAGAAACTAATTAATTTGCCTGTCGTACAGATAGAATTGAAACCTGAAATCAGCTTCATAATTCCTATGCTAATGATAAACCACTTGTCCTTTTCTGTGGGTAATTTGAGTTTAAATGGCTTAAGTATTTGGCCTGAGTGACTCATTCACTGTCACAAGCACACACATCACTACTATGCTCACAGGACTAAAAATGATTCGATTTTCAGACAAAGGGCAAACAAGACAAAACCAGAGAAGATTAAAGTAAACTTTGTGAAGTGCTTTTTTTCCATTTTGTTTTGTTTTGTTTTGTTTTGTTTTGTTTTTTTATCCTTGTAAGCATCAAGTATTATGAGTCTTTGTATAGGAATCCAACGCTGTAACCAAACTTTTGGCAGTCTTCCTTTTTATATGTGAGTAGTTACACAGATACCAGTGTAATCCAGCATGAAAAAGAAACAAACACATAACAAGAAAGTAGCTCTATCTTTTGCTAATGTAATCTTATTTTCATGTTTGATTATTGCCAACCATTTATGTAAGGAGAAATTCTACCTTGCTACAATAGTTAGCAGTATAGTTATGCATACACTTTTCAAAGAATCACAGAAAATAAGTTGCAAACTATCAGTGAGAAATAAATGCAAGAAGTGTGTATATATTTGTGTATACCTCCAAAGCGTGCTGCAGTGATTAACTAATACCTTCCATGTATGTGATGCATGAATTTTGAATACATTCTTTCTTGTGTAGAGTTCTAAAAAGAAATGAACAAATGCCTATGCCTGTACTTTCACAACTGAATTAATTTCTAATATGTCTGTAGAATGTATTGTAGACTCCTGCCATTCCATTCAGCTATATCTTAGGACAAATGCACAGAACCTGAAGGAAAGCCTGGATTACTTTTTGGCAGTTACTGTGCTCTCTACATGGGTACTGCTAGCAGGCAGGTTTAGGATTTGTAGGTTTGATTTCTGCAAGCAACTTTAAACAAGATCTCCTCAGGACTTAGTTCATCTCTGTCCATATTCAGAGATGTGGTCCTACTTTCCATTGATCAAAACAGCCTCTTAGTACTTTTTTATTTCCTGCCAGTACAGAGGAACCAGTTCAAATGCGAGGAAATGTTCCAGATTTCTTCTGGCTCTTTGGGCACCTAAAGAATCCCTGTCCTGTTCCCAGCTGCTAGACAAAGTCCTATCCACATTCATACTCCACATAGTTTTTTTTACAGAGACCTTCTTCATGTGCTTGTGGTGACTTGAAAATGACTGAGCATTCAAAGAGCATGAAAACTGGTACTCAGATTTCTGTATCAATTAGATATTTTCACAGGAAAGAACTAAAAGTATTGTGAGATTCAGATAGTGTTTTTGTGGCTCTTTTTTTAGAGTTCAAGCAGAGCTTTTAGGATGGTCGGTATATTCACTATATGTAAGCAAGTAAAGCATGCTTTTACTTGCAGCTGTTGTTATTTAACTAGGAAATCATTTTGACCTTTTGGCTTTGACAGAGATTCCATGAAAACATTCAATTTAGTAGTTTCTAAGAACAAGAAAGAAATAATGTAAAATTTTAACAGTGCTACAATGAATTTCTTGGCAATGAGTTGCAATATATTGCTGACCTGCTAAAACTTTCCCTGCTGTTGGCTATAAACAATGAATGTGCAAATGTTTATATGAATTACAGTTAGCGGTTAGCACAGACAATATAAATGGGCCATTTATACATGAAGATTCCAGAAAACTCTTCTTGGTCTTAGCCAAGACCCCACGCTGTCATTCCTACACAACCATGCTTCAGGCATAGATTTCTTCAATAATTGACTGTTGTAGACAATGTAGTCATTGTCTCTCTTTAAAATTACAAGGGATAAGTACATTATCTTTTTGACTCACCAACTAAACTGTTTTTATGTATCTGTTACCATCAGAGGTGTCTAAACATAAAATCAAAAGCAATTTTATCTGCTTTCAATTGAATTTATATTACTTTTTCATCAGACACTGAGCTCGCAGATAATCTTGTATATAAAATACTTCTAGTGACTAAATTATATCAGCTACAAAATTATGATTATCTGCATTAGAAAGACAATGAACAGACAGTAGTATATATGATTTTTATCATTTATTTTGCACAAAGTATTTGCTACTTGCAAATATTTATGCAATTAAGTAAGTATGACATAGCTTAATAATCTAACCATAAGTTGAATCCTATTTCTATATATTTCACTGCTAAATTTTCCACTGACTCTCTGGTTTTCAGCATTTATTTTTTCTTTATTTCATTTTCTCTCACTTTTCTCCACCTACTAAATACACTACTTACCTCCTTAATAACCTGAAGATGTAAACAGTGGATAAATAATATTGATTTTTTCTGTATTCCATTGTTGAAAACAGAATTCAGTTTTAATTCTTGGAAGTGTTTACCAAAGAATCCATGAAAATTGATCTGAGAAAAGTTCGCACCTATAATTACAGGTGTAACTTCAAATTCCGTAAATCATGCTCTGACAAACATAATCATGTTGATTGATTCTTTACTCCATGAGCAATAATAGATCAAAGTCTGGTACAAAATGATAAGCTTGCTTCTGTTTTCTCCTGCATACAAATCAGAAATGAATATAAGGCATGGATTTTTAGAAGTCTCCATACTGGTATAAAAAAATATTATGACATCTCATAGACACTGCAGATAAACAAACATAAATAACATTATTTAATTCTTTTCTCCCAAAAATTATTTTAGGTAACCCATTATTAACCAGCAAAGTCAACGTTATAATAAACGTCCTGGATGTCAATGAGTTTCCTCCTGAAATTTCAGTTCCATATGAGACATCTGTATGTGAAAATGCCAAGCCAGGACAGGTATTTCAAATTACTGTTTTGCCTTTCCTTTTCTCATTGTTTATAACCATGAAAAATCATGGATTTCAGCAATTACATCACGTTTAGAATTATTTTGCAAATAAAATGCATTATAAGTATTCATCTTTTGGAATTCTGCTTTTTGACATTTATTTATGGTCCTTTTATTTTATGATCTCTGATTATATGGACCACAGTCACTTGGTACTCTGCAGGGAACAGAAAACAAGAGAAAGAAGCTCTTAATTTTAGACATTCAAATAGAGCTGCAAAATTACGGTCAAGGAAGTAAACACAACAGGCTGGATTACATAATTCTCTGTGTCCTATACACAGAGAAAGAACCCACAATGCCAAAGTCAGTCCTTCTGAAAGCTTGCTTTTCTAAACAGTTTCAAATATATACACAGCATGGAAAAACTTCTACAGATATAGAATGTTGTCCAAGACTTGTAACTTTGCCTGTTCAATTACGAGGTAACTATCAGCCATGGAAGGAATATATACAGCCTGCTTTGTCATTAGTAAATTCTCTTTATATGTATGTAATACGTAATCAGCCTATGTGATGCTTTTATTACAGATATGTCTGTGACTTCATATAACATTCCTCTCTTTTTCACTTTTTTATTTCTTGCATGTTCCAGTTACTTCTCAGAAAACTTCAATTAGCTTCTTGTTTAATGGACAAAGCCATTAGTTTTTTCTCCTGACCCTAATAATAGAGAAGGTAATCTTTTACTGGGAAGGTGGAGATAGGCAGTAAACTGGCAATAATTATAAATATTTTGTTACATTTATAATTGCTGAAAATTTTTGGCATAAAAATCTAGATCAGTGGAAATCCTACTATGAAGTATCCTAACTGCACTGTCCTCATCTAAAATCTCGTAGATCCCCATCTACTCGGAGACTCAAAAGTTCATGTCCTAATACTCCATCATGCCTAGATGTTGCAGACCTTAAAAACCTCTCCACTTCATCTGAAGACGTAAAATCAGAGTGCAGTACTAGCATGTACTAGTCCTAGCAGTAATATTAGAAGTAACTGATAAAGTGAACCGTCTCTAATTAATTAACTTACTTGCAAACAATCACTAGCATTTTGATAAAAGGACAAGTATTAGATTCTTCTTTTATTATTATAGGGGAAATTCTTCTGATTTTATTTCTATATGTGAAAACAAGACCTTCTGAGATATCACAAGATCTCTAGGGACTGTAGCATTCAGACCCCTTACCTCCACTGTCCAAACCATTAGAGGGATGAGAGTAATCCATAAGGATTGCCCTTCACTTGTTTCAATTTTCTCTTTAACAAAATTATGTGTTCTAGAAGTCTTTAGTGAACTGACTTCAAAATTAATCTGTTTTCAGGTAATACAGACTGTCACTGCCACAGACAAAGATTTGTCACCAGCTGGGCAAAGGTTTTCCTTCAGACTGTCACCTGAGGCTTCCAACAAACCAAATTTCACAGTCCATGACTACAGAAGTAAGTTGCTTACCCATATACCTCTTTCAGAAAGCAGGCTGTGATTATAATGACAGTTACGATTGCTTTATATTCCAGGCATGCCCATAGAAATTTTATTTTATACATTTCTAATTGTTAATTATCTAAAACAGAAATTAATATAAATTCAGGTCTTACACCTCCTCCCATTTTCAGGGGCCAGGAATTGTCAGAACAACAAAGACTGGGATTTTCTTACAGGCTTGCAAAAACACTCGTACGTGTTTTATTACTTCCTTCAATCGTTCAGTTTATCAGGAAGAACTCATATATCAATATAGGTTTATCTTTAAACAAAGCACTAATACTGCCTTGTTTAAAAACTTCTACTTTTCATACTGATTTCAAAACATGCAGCTATCATTCTTTCTGAAGGACATGTAATCCTATAGGAGAATTAGTTCTAAATATGAACAGTGTTGCTGCAATATAATATCCTACAACACTGAATAATTTGTGGATTTACATGATTAACTTCATTGATTTTTTTCCTTCACCTTTTTGTCACTACTTACAATATTACCTTTACTTTTCATTTGAAGCTTCCACTTAATGGCAAAAATCCAAACTCAGAACTTTTTTGTTACTTACTTTTCCCTACTTTTCCTTTTGATAGAGAAATCCTTTACTCCAGTTGACAGTCTATATTTTTATATAGAAATTAATAACCAGCATCAACTTTGCAATATTAGTTATGCTGTACTATGTTTCTTGATCATGTGGTACCTCCTCTGATCATATGACTGAAAATGCAACAACTGTAATTGAGGTAATGTGACTGATATAATGAGTAATGGTAAAAGCTATCAAACCTACTGCAAAGGCATAGCACCTAATCAGTTCCTTTATGAGATAAGGAGATATGATTATATATGTTTATGCTTGCAAAGATCATGGAGTAGATCCTTCCGGAAGCTATATTAAGGCACGTGTGAGAAGAGGAGGTGATCCAAGGCAGCTAGCATGGCTTCACCAACGGTAAATTGTGCCTGACTATTTTCATGGCCTTCTAAGAGAGAGTGGATGTTGGAGGCATCAATGGCCAAGGGACGGGCAAATTATATTTTCTACTTCTATTTGTTTAAGACTTTTGACAAGGTCCCACACTACATCCTTATCTCTAAATTGGAAATATGAATTTGAAGGGTGGACTAATCAGTGAATAAAGAACTCATGAGTGAATTCCATTAAGGTGCATCATAGATAGTTAAAACCAGCTTACAAGTGAGCAGAGAATTTCATTTAACAATTTGTAAATACAGTATGTAATGAAAACATAATAATTCATAAAATTGCAGATATGAATAATATTAACTTATTAAATAAAAAATGTGTACTTTTTAGCATTTTTTCAGAGGCCATTCGAGTACTTATTTTGAGACAGATTTCAGCAAATATAAAGGAGAGTCTTGTAAAGTAATGAAATCCCCTTCTATTCTTGGAAGATTAGATCATTATTCTTCTGAAGTACTTAGCCTAAACAGTTTGACTTCAACATCTATTACTCTCTAAAAATGCTATAGCATTTCAACTTCTAACTATAGTTATGCCAAGCAAGGTTTAAATGTTTTGCATCATTTGTCCCATTAGACCCAATGGTGAATATTGCTTCTTCTTAACAATGCACTACAGTTGCTATTTTCCATTCTCTGCTTAACTATCTGTAGTACTTCTTTGGATAACTCAGCACAATTCACTATCTTCTGCTCTTTTTTTGGTAATAACAGAGCATCATTTTTTTTGCTACATCAAGTATACCTCTAGAAAACATAAATGTCATAATTTTTGAGTTTGAGATTGTGTTAGTATCAAGGAGGTACTTTGTGAGAGGAATTTTGGCTTTATTTGAGGAATTGATTCTGTTCATCACATTACACTTTTACAGGTAAATATGTATACTAACATTTTTAAACACACCGAGAAGTCTAATAAGCAGTGCTGATCTATAATGATAAAATCATGGGTGTTGTGAAATAACACTAGATGTAATGTGTTTGTACTGCGTCTGAGGAGACCTGATAATGGGGGATATAAGACAGAAGGGATAGACTCTTCAGCAGGATCTGATAGGACAAGGGGAAATGGTTTCAAACTAAAGTAGGGGAGATTTATATTGAATAAAAGGAAGAAAAAAAAATTTAAGATGAGAGTAGTGAAGCACTGGAATGTGTTTCCCTTGGAGGTGGTGGCTACCTTGTCCCTAGAGACATTCAAGGTCAGACTTTGAGCACTATGATCTAGCTGTAGGTGTTCCTATTCATTGCAGGGGAGTTGGACTAGATGACCTTTAATGGTCCTCTGTCAAATTACATAATTCTATGATTCTAGAACAAATTTTTTCAGGCCTTGTACTCCCCAGAATATAATTTACTGTGAAGAGAGAAAGATAGTGTGCTAACTAAAGGCTCTATTAAAATAGACTGAAGAACCAGAAGCTGGTAAAATGAAGCTGGATTAATTTTTATGCAGTGCAGATGATGAAACAGAGAAAGAATAAGCTGAAGATGGAAGTTGGCTAGATTAGAACAATTTTTAAATACTTTGATTTTTCAAAGCTAATTGTCACTGAACTTGATATGTCTGTATGCCTGTTTGACAAAATAATGACATCTGAAATAAACATTCAGTCAGCCAAGTGCTCTCTGAATTGTAGCCATTCGTAAAGTACCTGATTTAGGCTTCTTTTCTTATTGTCCTTATTCAGAACTGCATAACTGTTGAATCCAGGGGCCTTATTTCTTCTACATACTGTAAATCTCCAAGAAGGGATAAAATTTGTAACACAGACAGCAAATAATCTAAAGATATACTAAAGTGTATGGATCAGATAGAAAAATGGTTACTGCTGCAGGCTACCTTCATTCAAATCTGACAGCTAATTGATTGCCTGTTAATTTTATTTCCTTTTTGTTTTCAATGTAATTCTTTTAATCTGCACATCATTTTCTTGATGCTCTGTTTGATTCAAGAAAAGTTGTGATAACTGACTAGCTACTGGGAAGAAATTACAAAATATAATTTCTAGGAGCTCTGAACTCATTTGTGACTAATTGATGGAAAATGTACTGATTATAGTTCATTACAGTTCATTTCTGTACTCTTAATATGGCAAGAAGGTTGAAAGGGTTTTGTATTTTGCCCAAGCATCTTACTTTCTTTTTTTCAAAAGAAATTGAATGATTTAATGGAGTCTTGATCTAAATCCACCTTCAATTAGAGTCATTTGGAACACAGTCCTGGGCTGGAAATGGTATATTGTTTGATTCTCTGCAAAAAGGAAATCACTTAGCTACACCAATCAGAATACAATTCTTTTTGTAATGACAAGACAAATACATATGCATGTCATTCACCAAGTTTCAGAAATGAAACAGCTTCCAGTAGTAAAGTTGATACAAACATCAAGAGTAAATTATGTGCACAATAAAAATCCTATAATGTCTCTCATGTTTTACAGACAACACAGCTGGGATTGAAACCAGGAGAAATGGCTACAGCAGGAGGCAGCAAGAGCTGTATTTTCTTCCAGTGGTAATAGAAGATAGCAGTTACCCTGTCCAGAGCAGTACAAACACAATGACTATCCGGGTTTGCAGATGTGATTCTGATGGTACCATCCTGTCCTGCAATGTGGAAGCAATCTTCTTGCCAGTAGGCCTCAGTACAGGAGCACTGATTGCAATCCTGTTGTGTATTGTTATACTTCTAGGTTAGTTCTCATTATACCCTTTCAAGTATGTTATTCTGACTCACGTGTTAATTAATTTGTGTTCCCATTAGCTTAAACAAATGTTTTAAAAAAACAAAATGTGTGGATGTTCTTGAAAACTTGTGTATTTCTAACTTTCTCGAAAAGCATCCCAAAGTAATGACCAGAAATGTGAATCTGCTAATACCTACATTTCCTATTGCATGAAAAGATAAGGTTTCAGTGGAACTTGAGCTGCATTGTTTGTCTGAAACACTTTCGCTGAAATACTCTCCTTGAAAAACTTCAGTTTCTTAAAATTACTAAAGTAAACAAGCCCTACTGACAGTAATAGCAGTAAAAACTTAGTAAAGGCCTTTGTTTAACTTTTAATACCAGCTTGAGAAAAAGAGTGATGAAATGAAAGAGGAGAAAATTATTGTAATGCAGACTGCGACTGGCTAGACCACTGTAGAACTTGACAGAAACGTATTAATTTCAGGCAGGCATGGATTCCATTACACTGCTTCATCATTTGGATCTATACTACACTTAAATAACATATTGTTTGTAGCATACCCAAGGCAGTCCATACTCATCTGCATCCTACATACAGTATGTCTTTAATGAACTGGTAATGAATTAAATCCAACTTTGTAACCTACACAGGTTCATTGTGAGCAGCTTAGTACAAACTAATTCTTAGATATGCTAGACTATGCCCTTTCTTGATGCTAGGGGTCTGCCTAAATCTCATACTAATTGTTGTGTAGATCTATTGGGCAAACAGCAAGAGCTGAGACACTGAATAAAATATATGCATACTTATTTGCATTTGAATGAATATTCATAGCTTAAGCAAAGTACTACAGTCTTGGAGTTGCATTAGGAGTTTCTGAGTAGTAGTGGGTAAAATTTAGAATTTTTATTCTGTCTAAAACATTTTTGTTGTGAGAAATACGTTTCAAATTAGAATGAGAATTGTAAATGTTCATACTTAAAAAGATTTTAAAAATATACTAAAAAAAAGCCTTACAACAGTTTACTGGGTAAACCCTGTAAACAGTCAAGAATGAGATTCAGCTTTCCAAAGAAATCTATTGTGAATAATAGTTTCAGCTATTCAATGTGAAGAGATCATAGAACCATAGAATGGCTTCAGTTGGAAGGGACCTTAAAGATCATCTAATTCCAACCCCCTTCCATGGTTGCTGACCACTAAATCAGGCACTATGTCAGACTGCCCGGGGCCCCATCAAACCCAGCCTTGAATGTCTCCAAGGATGAGGCATCCACAGCTTCCCTGATCAGCCTGCTCCAACACACCTCACTCTCAGTGAAAAATTTTCCCTAACATTTAATCTAATTCTCTTGCCTTCTAGTTTATACCATTCCCCCTTGTCCTATCACTATCTGCCTGTGTAAAAAGTCCATTTTCCTTGTTTATAAGCTCCTTTTAAGTACTGGAAGGCTGCAATGAAATGTCACTGAAGCCTTCTTTTCTTTGGGCTGAAGAATCCCACCTCCCTCAGCCTCTCTTCATAGGAAAGGTTCTCCAGTTCTCTTTTTTATGGCCCTTCTCTGGACCTGCTTCAACAGTTCTGCATCTTTCTTATGTTGGGTGCCCCAGATCTGGCTGAAGTACTCCAGATAGTGCCTTACAATAGCAAAACCTCTCTCTCCCTGCTGGTCACCCCTCTTTTTTTTTTTTTTTTTCCAAACTGCAAATGCTCTCTGCTGGCATTTGTGAAGCGTTTCATCCACCAGGACAAATGATGAATCAATTAGAACTCCATTTTAAGGCAGCATTCTCAGGTCATCTAGTCTCTCTAATACAAAGTGCCTAGAACTTTTAACACTACAATAGATGTAGTAAAATCTTTTAAGCTGTCACCCTTGTGATTAGTTTGTATGATGTGAACTATGAAGAACCTGAACTAGAGAACCTGACAGTTCTAATCCATTGATTATTTACGCTACCCAAGTTTCTGAGTAAATATAAATATTTGAAGTCTGATTTTCCCCCTAAATTTGCTAGGTAATGATGTGGGCCTTCAAGAAAACTGTGTTTATGTTTCTCTAATGGTCAAATACAATTATGTCAAAGAACTCATCAACTCTGACTCTGATGGATGCTCTCAATGTGTATGACACTAATGAAAATATTTTTATTCCTACTTTCCAGACTAAATTACTGAGATTATGTTAGGAAAAGAGGCTTTGGTCTTTAATAGCTCCCTTCATTCCAATCAATCCAGTAATACTACCTAGAAAAACTAATGTATAAATAATGAGAACACCAGTGATGTGCATGACATAAGAGAATGGAATTTATATCTTTTTTTTCTGTAATAATGGCAAATTGAAAATCTTAAAGTTTCTTCAGGATTTTCATTATTGCAATCTTTAAAAATGTACTTGAAGTGATTCTTACTGAGCTCACTTCCACATAAGAAACAGCCAATATATTAACATCAGGAGTTATTTTATGCTATGCACACTGGACCATGAACTTACAATCATTGCAACTCTGTTCTTTATTATATTACTTCTCAAATAGTGCTTAGAACTCTATGATTTTTACCAAAGGCAGTTAGGAAATTAAAAAAAAAAAAAGAAAAAATTACCAGTGTACTACTACTAGGTTTCTCATTCTCCAAACTATTGGCAATAAAACCACACCACAAAACAATTTCCTTTGAGTACAAAATCACAGATGGAATGCTCTTCTGGAGATTAACTAGCCCAGCATGCTTTTAGAGAATGGCTGCATTCAGCTGAGGCTTGACTATAACTCAGGATAGATGCAACACTACTCTGAGAAACATGATCCATTGCTTAACCATTATGACAGGAAAAAACTCATATTTTAATGGAATTTCCTGTATTTCAGCTTTTGCCCATTGTCCATTGTCCTGTCACTAAGCTGAGAAGGCTCAAACTCCCTCTTCTTTACTGCTTTGTCAGGTATTTAAGCACACTGATCAAAGATCTCCCTGAGTCTTCTCTTCTACAGGCTGAATGTTTTCAGATTTCAGCTTATTCTTCTATGTCAGATGCTCCAACCACTTAGTCATCTTTGTGACTTTTTGAAGGATTTGCTACAGAAAGCCCATGTCTGTCTTTCGCTGAGGAGCTGAAGCATGGACTCAGCAGTGCTGAGCAGAGGGGAAGAATCGTCTTCCTTGACTTGCTAGCAACATTTTTCCTAATACAGCCCAAACTGCTGTTGGCCTTCTTTGCCTGAAAGGCACATTGTTGACTCATAGTGAACTTGCTACCCATCACCATCTCAGTCCTTGTCTACTGAGGTTCTTTCCAGCTAGTCAGGTGATAGTATTTACTGGTACATAGGTTTATTCCTCTCCTCATATGGGACTTGGCATTTCCCTTTGTTGAACTTCATGGGATTCCTACTGGCCCATTTTTCCAGTCTATTGAGGTACCTCTAAATGATGGCACCAATACCTATTTTTTTATCTCCTGTAAACTTCCAGAGGGTATACGCTATTCAGGTCATTAATGAAGATGTTAAACAAAACTGGTTCCAGTACCAATTCCTGTGGTACACTACCAGTGATTGGCCTCAAACACCTGGGTGTTGATCACAGCACTTAGAGCCTAACAATCTGTCTAGTTTTGCAGTCGACTTCACTATCTACTTATCCAGTCCATACTTCCTCAGTTTTATATTACGTTTCTTATTCCAGATAGCATCACTTTGCTAAACTTAGGATAAATAACATCCTCTGCTAATCCACCAGCCACCTCTCTGTAGAATGCTATCTGACAAGTTGAGCACATTTTCCCCTTTGTAAATCCATGTTCACTTCTCATCATTTTTCCTGTTCTTGATAGGCTTGTAAATGGTATCCAGAATTATTTCCTCTATCACTTCTGTCAGGATCAGATGTGAGACTCACTGGCTTGTAGTTCCCTCAGTCATTCTTCTTGCCCCTTTTTAAGATAATGATGACAATTTCTTCAGTCCTCAGAAACTTCTCATAGTACCACAACATTTCAAATTTAATCTCCAATGGCCTTGTAATGTCAGTCATCTCCCTCACTACAGTTTACATCCTGTCAAGGTTACTGTCCATGTATGCATCCAATTTTTTTAAGTTTTCCTTAACCTTTTCCTCTTTCATCAGAATAAATTTTTCTAGCTCCAAATTTTCCCTCTGGTTTCAGGGATCTCTGTCTTATGAATAAAGACAGAGGCAAAGAAACCATTCAGCACCTTTGCTTCTCCTGCCTTTGCTTGATTTCCTGCTCATTAAGATGAAACACCGTTGAGCTTGGAAGAGGTGATAGCTAAAAAGCAACCAGATCTACAGGACTCCTTTTCCTTCCAGAAACATATCTCATATCACAGGTCATTCTTCAAAATTCAGAGAGGCAAAAAAATGTACTCTATAAATAACTGAACTTAGACTTTTTTTTGTCCATCTCAGAAATTCCTATTTATTTATTTTTCTCTTCAACAATGCTTTGTTGTGGTTGTTGTTGTTTTGGTTTTCTATTCATTTTGTTTTCTCAACAGAGTAAGTTGAGGTTTGCCAGGGTAAGTTTAGGTTGGATGTCAGAAAAAATTCTTTAGAGAAAGGGTAGTTAAGCACTGGAATAGGCTCCCCAGGGAGGTGGTTGAGTCATCATTCCTGAACGTGTTTAGAAAACATTTGATGTGGTGGACGTATTTAGCGGAGGTTGTTAGAGTTAGGGTAGTTTGGTTAGACTTGATGATCTTTTTAAGATCTTTTCCAACCTGAGCAATTCTATGATTCTATGATTCTATGATTCTATAATGTCAAAAATTGGGAATTTTTCTCTATTAAGCTATGGGACACATTTAAAAAAGAATCCCATCTCTCTGTATCTGAACTGAAAGTCCTATCCACCCCTACTTTTTGCATAAAGCAAGACAGTTTGTTACTTCCTTCACAGCAAGCACTAAAGAAAGATTCATACATCAAACAGCAAATGACTTTTTATTGGATAGAGCACTGCTGTTTTTATGATAATAGCAGGAGTCTATCTTCTAAGGAAAAAAAATCCTTTTGATTGCAGCTTTCAAAGGATGTATAATGATACATCATCAGAGTACCAAATTATTTCTATGCATGTCTTAACTTCAGTTTTCTGTCATTACAGTCATTGTAGTACTATATGTAGCACTACGGAGGCAGAAGAAAAAGGACACCCTGATGACCTCTAAAGAAGACATCAGAGATAATGTTATCCATTATGATGATGAAGGAGGTGGAGAGGAGGACACCCAAGCTTTCGACATTGGTGCTCTGAGGAATCCCAAAGTGATTGAAGATAACAAAATGCGCAGGGACATAAAACCAGACACCTTGCGTTTTCCACGTCAGAGACCACCAGTGGAAGACAACACAGACATAAGAGATTTCATTAATCAAAGGCTGCAGGAAAATGATGTTGATCCAACTGCACCCCCTTATGACTCCTTGGCAACCTATGCTTATGAAGGAAATGGGTCTGTTGCAGAGTCCCTCAGCTCTATAGAATCCCTTACTACAGAGGCAGACCAGGATTACGACTATCTGAGTGACTGGGGACCTCGTTTTAAGATCCTGGCAGACATGTTTGGAGAAGAAGAAAGTTATAACCCTGATAAAGTCACTTAAGAACAAATACATCAGTGAAATAAAAAGAAAAGCAAACCAACAACAAATAAAAAAGATAAACCTAAGCTTTATAATAGGACAGGTTTCCTTCGATTATAAAAGACAGCAGTTGTTTCCAGCAAGTTACTACGTTTATCATACTGTCAGTTTTTGTTTGATCTGCAAAGAAGAGATAAATCCTGTAATATACACAGTTTTTTGTTGTTCTTATTTTGTTACTCTGGAATTACACTGAGACAAGCTCAGGCCTACAAGGTACAGTTTACTGACTGACTTAGAAAGAAGATAGCTTTCTGGCATCATGTGGAAGAGTGGTAGCTTTTTCGTAATTCCACTAAAGTGCCTATTGAAACTTTTATCATTTAAGTGGTAAAGAGTCTGCTGTGATGGTGTTACAAAACTGAATGAGAATTGGACATGAACTTTAAGACAAGAAGCAATAGCAACATGCTGACTTCTTATCGAACAAAAATGGAGATAACTTCCCGGAGTATATCTAATGATTAAAACTAAGAGGGATGTACATTGTGTTCAGGCGTTATATTTGTGGGTTTTTTTAAAGAAGAAAACACTATGTCAAGGCATTATATTTCTTCTTTTCACTGAAAATTGAAATTTAAAATGCTATTGCTGACTGAAGATGTAAAGCCAAAATTAAAAAGATTTTAGCATACATCAATGAATATTTAAAAGTTCGTGAAAATATTTCATTTTTTTCCAGAATAATAAAAGATGAAAGCAGCTACTCCTTTACATGAAGGAAATTTCCCTTTTTAAAAATGTGACTATTATTAGAAAATTAAATAGTTTTTTTTTTAATTTCTGTTTGTTTCTTTTTTTGTTTAGGAATATTGTTGTAATTTTAGTACCAAGTCATTTTTTTTTCCCTTGTAATTATCACTGAACTAGCACATGTAAAGAACTCCACATACATTTTCTTTGCAACTAGTTTGTTTGTCTTTGGATACTGTAGAAGTACATACTACAGAGATAATTATTTTTTCAACCATCACCTGCTACAGTTCACCATTATATTTTAGTGTCAGACCCTTATTAAAAATTGAAATTCTTATTATGTGATTTTGTTCTTCATAAAATCATAGAGTGGTTTGAGTTGTAAGGGACCTTAAAATCACCTAGCTTCACCCTGTCTAACATTGGCAGGGACCCCTTCCACTAGACTGCTACAAAAACCAATCCAATCTGCTCTTGAACACTTATATGAATCGGACATCCATGACTTCTCTGGGCAAGTTTTTGGTGCCTCACCATCCTCATATTAATAATTTCTTCCTAATATGTACTCTATTTTTTTTGTTCAAAATCATGACACATTGTCCTAATGAAATCTATTCCTTGACAAAATATTAACAGACAGAACAAAAACATAAGACAGTATAATTCTCCACTTTTTATGTTCATACCCATTTATAAACATAGCTGTGCAAATAACAGAATTGCATATATTTGCAAGGCGCTGTGCCTTGGAAGAGCACTTGTAAACTATTTCATTTAATTTTTTTTTCTGAGGATTTAAGAAATATACATTTTCTAAGACAATGGTTTATAGCCCCTGAAGTGTATGTATACCTATATTCTCCTTCTAAAATCTCTGCCATGCTATACAATATGCTCAAGCTCTACTCATGATTACTGGCAGTGGCAAGGTGAACCTAAGTCTTTCAGGTCTACAACTTAGATTGTATTCAGTGTGTCACTGAAGAATTAATAGCTACCAAATACACTTAGATCACATATCTGATTAACATACCCAAAGTACCTTCTACTCTTGTTGAAATGAAAAGGTATTACAAAGTTGTATAAATGACTCTTCCAATAAGACTTTAAAATTCATGTTGCTTAAATAAATTTAGTTATATGGCAAAATTGGACAGGGTTGCATTAAAATCACTGTCAGTGTAGATTATACCAGCAGAGAGCAGAGGTGTAATGCAGGACACAGTAACAGAAAATGTTCTGTATTGGTGGGCTTGTGTTTTTCTTTTTCATTATTAGTCAAGGTAGTTTATGTTCCTTGGATGACAAACTAAGGCAACAAAATCTCTCAACAAATATTAGGGAAGCAGATGGATTAGCAAGGCCCATTTACTACCATAACAATTTTAGTTTCGAAGCTGCTGTTTTTAATTTTTGTGCATGATAGCATAGCAAGATCAACCACTGCAGAGTAGACCTCAAGCAGAACTCTTAAAAAAATGTTTACAAATGTGTAATCTTAAGGTCAATTTCTGCTCTTTGTAACTGTATTAGTCCTTTACAAGTATTATGCAAGTAAAATCAATGAAAGTGATACTGAGTGAACAGGAAAGCTCTCAAAGAGCTCAGAGCATTTGCTGTGAGCAGGACAGTCTGTACGGGAACCTAACATCTAAAATGTAATTTAATCATGCTATTACACAAAATTCAGATACAACAGTAGTTGCTTTATGCTGAATTACTGACAAATTGAATATCAAATGCGTATTTTTGACATTCAAGAGCTTTGTAATTGAGATGTTTCAATCACATAATTAATAAGCCTCCAGGAAGATTAAAAAAAAAAAAAAAGGGGTTATATAATTACAGATGCAGTTATGCTATAAAATCTTAATTAAAATATAAGACTTTTTTCAAAGGGTGATCAAACAATTTTAAATTAAAGAAGGTATTTTTTTTTTTTGTAAACAGATCTATGAAACTAAGAAAAATCTTCACTTTATATTCACACGTTATCTGGGACCCAATGGATTTGTGTTTTATTCCATGTTCTATCACTCTCTTTCTAAAAGATGCATGCCAGATTTTAAGACTTTGTTTTTTAAAAGGTAATTAAACAGATATGAAGTTTATAAGATTTAAATAAGATATCTGAGATGACATGAAGTCAATGGGACTAAGAACCCCAGTGCATCTGTGAATTGTACTAGGTATGTACTTTTGTTTTTAAGCACTGTAGCTTTGAAAAATCCCTAGAAAGACTTGTATAATCCATATCTCACAGTTGTCTTTCTCTGGACTATGGAAAGAGCCATAAAATCTCATGTTGTATGAGTAGTGACAGGAAACTGTTTATGAAAAAGTTTAAAAGGCACTGAAGTGGTAGACTCAAGAAAAATGCTTTTCATTCTAATTTCCAAACATAAGATACTGGTGCACAAACATTTGGCATCATCTTAAACGTCTGAACAGTGCCCCCCTCAAAACACAAAACATTCTGTAAAATGCCTTCAAGTAATCTAGTTTGTAAGATTAATTGTGGACATACAGAACTGAAGACAAATTTATAACAATACTTTGAAAGAAATTTTAAGTAGGAAAAAGACTTTTGTGTCCTGAAAACATCATGAGTTAGAATAGTTCAGACCATTTCATTGAATATAAAAGATTATTAATACATGGATTTAAGTGTGCTACCTCACAAATCTGAAAATATTGTTATTCTTGAAATGCAGATTTACAATATTGTGAGATAACAAAGATTTGGAAAGCAATGACAGTAGACAATGTCTGTGGCACAAAGGTCTGTTTGAATATTTTATACTTCCAAAATTTTTACTTATACAAATTTTATAAGTTTGCTCTGAATTTTGCTGTTTGAAAATAAAATTAGTTGATGAGGATTTACTCTGAGTTATGAAAGCAAAGTTCATTATTATGGAGCAAAGAACAACAAATGATTCAAAATATTATGGATAATATTATTCTAGACAATACCCTGCAAATGTTTTTGCCTTAACAATAAGATGTCAATTTCCAGATAAACACAACTGATCTTTCACAGAATTAAAAAATACCATTTAGCCAATGCAATACTTAAATTTCTCTCCACTACCATTTTGAAAGAGTTCTTATGACTGTGTTGTATTAAGTAACAAAATGTTATTAAGTGAATACAGAAAGAAAATACAGTAATATTTTGGGTTGCTGGCATTTCATATGATGTTAGTGACTGTTTTATTTGCTGAGATTTGAGATTTGAGCTTGTAAGTTATTTACTGTTGTCATTTTTTTTTTTAAATCATTATTAACGTTCCAATCCTGTGTGTATAGAAATATTTTTGAGCTTTACTAAACTTCGTAAAACAAATGATGAAATATGCCCTAAAACAACCTTATGGAAGTGACATTAACTGTAAATGAAAATCAAACTTTATATTAAACCCCTTCCAAACCTTCTCCTAATAGCAAATCTATAACAACCTGATTCCTTTTCTCTTCTCATTTAAATCAAGATGGACCAGGAGAAACAGTTGCTATTTTCAGCAAAATTAAGATAAGCTGTTGGTTGTTGCTGATTATTGTTTGTTTGTTTGTTGATATTCTGTTTGCTTCAATTATAAACCTCCTCTGCAAAACTGCAATGAAAAACACTTTTGGAAAAAAAAAAAAATAATTGTGGAGTTTACAAAAATCTATGTGCAAAAGAGTACGTGATTTATTAAGCCAGAACTGGAAAATGTAGCCAGCATGCTCCACAGGAAATGTTAGAATGAAATCAAACCACTCTGCATACTGCCTTTGTCCATGATAATGCTGAGATATTCATAGGCATGTTTTCACTGAAAACATGTATATATTAATTATATTAATTATTAGTTATTATATTTTACTGAAAAATGATATTAAATTATGTCCATCTATTTGAGCAACTCTAGGCACAGGAACAAGAACTACACTTTCAACAAGAGATATGTTTTTAAAAAAACACTTGGATTTCCTCAAGCATGGATGTAAAGCTTCTATATTTAAATATGACACACAGGACAAACAAATGTGAAGAAAAGACACCAAAACAAATGTGGTATAGAATCAGAAAAATCGTCCATTTTTTTTAAAGCATCAGTCAACATATTTTGAATGAATTTCCATGAAAAATAGAAAAAACTAACAAAAAATTCAAGAATTTAATTAGTCAGTAAAATTCTATTTTCTAAACATATATTTCTTTCATAAAACCTACGTTTTCTAAATTTTGGAATCAGGCTAGTACATTCAGGAAAATAGAGGAAATAATTTAGTCGTCTGGATCTGGTGGCATCTAATTTCACTTATATTTGTATAGTTTGTTGATTTTTTTTCCCCCAGTCATCTTACAATCATTTTTGTTATAGAAGAGTAGGA